TTTCATCAATATATGAGAGTTCTAGATCCTATCTTGCAAGTCTATAGTCACCTATTATGTGTTATGATCCGTTAACCCCGAAGTGACAATAATTGGGATACTTACCGGTGATGACTGTAGTTTGAGGAGTTCATGTATTCACTATGTGCTAATGCTTTGTCGGTTCTCTATTAAAAGGAGGCCTTAATATCCCTTAGTTTCTATTAGGACCCCGCTGCCACGGGAGTGTAGGACAAAAGATGTCATGCAAGTTCTTTTCCATAAGTACGTATGACTATATTCGGAATACATGCCTACATTACATTGACGAATTGGAGCTAGTTCTGTGTCACCCTATGTTATGACTGTTACATGATGAACCGCATCCGGCATAATTATCCATCATTTATCCGATGCCTATGAGCTTTCCATATACTGTTTTACGCTTATTTACTTTCCCGTTGCTATTGTTACAATCACTACAAAATACCAAAAATATTACTTTGCTTTCATTACTCTTTTGCTACCATTACCATCACTATCATACTACTTTGCTACTAAACACTTTGCTGCAGATACTAAGTTTCCAGGTGTGGTTGAATTGACAACTCAGTTGCTAATACTTGAGAATATTCTTTGGCTCCCCTTATGTCAAATCAATAAATTTGGGTTGAATACTCTATCCTCGAAAGCTGTTGCGATCCCCTATACTTGTGGGTTATCAGGTTTGCCTATCATGAGACCTCTAATCATGTAGATGAGTCTTTGGTGATTGCTGTAGAGCCTGAGTGTGGTGACCGATCTGAAGATCGCATTAAGCCTAAACGGACTTGGAAATGGAAGGTTTATCCAGTGTCGGCTGCGCGTAGAAGTGCTAGGATCCGTACCTCTAAAAAATTTCATGATGAAATATGAGAGGCATTTTCTGGAATAGCAGAGGTCTTAAAGACTTGGCTAAAAGAAGGTTTCTAGCGGATGCTTCTCTTGAACATCATTTGGATTTTATGGCTTTGTCTGAGACTGGAAGAGGCAACTTCACTTCACAATTTCTTAGCACTTTATCCGGGGGGTAGATTTTGACTGGCATTGCCTCCCCCCTCGAGGAAGATCCGGTGGGGTTTTACTTGGGGTTAAGTGTAAAACTTTGGAAGTTCGGAGTGTAGTTTTGGGAGAGTTTGCGGTAAAGTTTCGGGTCAGAACTAAGGCAGATGGATTTGATTGGGCTTTGGTGGCGGTTTACGGAGCCGCGCAACCAGAACTCAAGCCAGATTTCTTGGCCGATCTGGTCCGTGTCTGCGCTAACGAGCAGCTCCCTATCTTAGTGGGGAGTGATTTCAACATTATTCGAAGAAGGGAGGAAAAGAATAATGAGAATTTTGATGGCAGATGGTCGTTTATGTTCAATACCATCATTGAAAGCTTGGATCTCAGAGAGGTAGAGCTCTCGGGTAGGAAATTCACTTGGGCTAACTCGTTACCGGTACCAACTTTTGAGAAGCTTGACCGTGTTTTAGCTAGTGTCGAATGGGAACAAAAGTTTCCCTTGGTAACAGTGCAGGCGTTGACACGAGGTATCTCGGATTACACACCGTTACTAGTTGACTCGGGTGCTCAAACACATGTGGGTAACAAGAATATTTTCTCGTTTGAACTTGCATGGTTTGAAAGAGAAGAGTTCCTCGAGTTGTTAGCTAGAGAGTGGGCTAAAGACTCAGGAGGAAGGTCGCCCATTGAGCGATGGCAATGCAAGATTCGTCATCTCCGAAGGTTCCTTCGTGGATGGGCTAAGCATACGCATGGGATATATAAGGCGGAGAAGGAGCGACTCCTTCTACTTATTCAGACCCTAGAAGTTAAAGCTGAAACTTCTATCTTAGGTACCAGTGAGCTGGAAACTAAGATGGAGGCGGAGTTGCGGCTGAAAGAGCTTCTCCGCGAGGAGGATTTGAAGTGGGCGTTGCGAGCTAAAGTTCGCAAAATCGTCCAAGGCGAGGATAACACTCAATTCTTTCATATGATTGCTAATGGGAAGCATCGTAAGAAGAGAATTTTCCAATTAGAACAAGACGAAGGAGCGATAGTTGGTCAAGAAAACCTGAAAGTTTACATTACCAACTATTATAAGCAGTTGTTTGGACCTCTGGAAGAGAATTTTGTGTCTTTAGATGAGTCAAGGGTTGAGGATGTTCCTCAACTTGAGACTTACGAGAATGAGATTTTGACAGCTCCCTTTACGGAGAAAGAGGTGTTTGAGGCCATCGCACAAATGGAAAATAATAAGGCTCCAGGACCGGATGGGTTTCCGGTGGAGTTTTATAAAAAGTGTTGGCACTTCATTAAGGGAGACTTGATGCCAATGTTTCATGAGTTTTTTTGCTGGACAGCTTCATTTGTTTAAGCTGAATTTTGGAACGATAACTCTTCTTCCTAAGAAGACAGAGGCCGTTTGCATTGAGCAGTTCAGGCCTATATGTCTGCTTAATGTTAGTTTCAAAATCTTCACCAAGGTCGGGACGAACAGACTTATTACGCAGATTACGCACTCTGTTGTGCATCCGTCCCAGATTGCTTTCATGCCAGATAGAAATATCCTTGAAGGGGGCGTTGTCTTGCATGAAACGCTCCATGAGATTCACTCAAAAAAATTAGATGGTGTTGTTTTTAAAGTGGATTTTGAAAAAGCATACGGTAAAGTTAAATGGCCTTTCCTTCAATAGGCTTTGCGTATGAAAGGATTTGACACGGCTTGGAGAAACCAGATTGAATCCTTTACGCAAAAAGGGAGTGTAGGGATTAAAGTGAATGACAACATAGGTCACTATTTCTAGACACACAAAGGGTTAAGGCAAGGAGATCCCATGTCACCGATCCTATTCAACAGAGTGGTTGATATGCTGACTATTTTAATAGGAGGGGCTAAGGATGCGGGGCAGGTAGGTGGCCTTGTTCCGCATCTAGTTGACGGAGGTATTTCCATCCTTCAGTATGCTGATGATACTATCATCTTTATGGAGCACGACTTGGCGAAAGCAAGAAACATGAAGCTTCTGTTATGCTTATTTGAACAATTGTCCGGGCTCAAAATTAACTTCCACAAGAGCGAATTGCTCTGTTTTGGAAGAGCTAATGATGACCAGGAGGCTTATAAACAATTGTTCGGATGTGAATTGGGCACGTTACCGTTCACGTATTTAGGTATACCCATTCATCATCGTAAGCTGACTAACAAAGAGTGGAAATGCATCGAGGATCGTTTTGAGAAGAAACTGAGTTGTTGGAAAGGGAAGCTCATGTCATATGGAGGACGATTAATTTTGATTAATTCGGTCCTCACCGGTATGCCTATGTTTCTCCTATCCTTTTTCGAGGTCCCGGTGGGTGTCATGAAAAAGGCTAGACTTCTATCGATCTCGGTTCTTTTGGCAGAGTGATGATCTTAAACGAAAGTATAGGCTTGCTAAATGGGATATAATCTGTAGGACGAAGGACCAAGGGGGTCTAGGAATTGAAAATCTGGAAGTCAAAAACATATGTCTCCTTAGTAAGTGGTTGTTTAAAGTTTCGTTCGAGACGGAGGCTACTTGGGTTCAGATTCTGCGTAATAAGTATCTTCAGTCTAAAACCTTGGCCCAGGTGATAGTGAGGCCGACTGACTCACCTTTTTGGAAAGGCTTGATGAGAGTCAAACAACTCTTTTTCAACAATACAAGGTTCATACTCGGAAATGGAGCTAATACGAGGTTCTGGGAGGATACGTGGCTTGGGGAGACTCCCTCTGCACTTCAATATCCTACTATGTACAACGTTGTTCAACGTAGAGAAGCCTACGTTGCAACCGTTCTACAGTCCACTCCCCTCAATATTAGTTTTCGGAGGACGCTAGTTGTAAATCGTTGGGAGGCCTGGCTTCATCTTGTAAGACGTTTGATGGATGTCCAGCTGTCCCAGCAGCCAGATCAGCTGTATTGGAAACTAACTAAGAACGGCATGTTCTCGGTCAAATCCATGTATCTGGATGTCATAAACTCTAGCGTCATTCTTTCCTCGAAGCACGTTTGGAAAGTAAAGGTACCTTTGCGAATCAAAGTGTTTATGTGGTTTGTGCATAAACAAGTTATTTTGACTAAGGATAATCCGGCAAAACGCAACTGGGTGGGCTCTGCTAGATGTAGTTTTTGTGACCATAACGAAACTATCAAACACCTCTTTCTTGATTGCCCGCTGGCTAAGATTCTGTGGCGGTCGATTCATATTGCTTTTAATATTAATCCGCCTACTTCCATCAACATGTTATTTGGAACGTGGCTTGATGGGGTTGACTCTGATACAGCGAAGCACATTCGTGTTGGCGTTTGTGCTTTATTATGGGCAGTCTAGAACTGCAGAAATGATTTGGTTTTTAACAGATTAATGAACATTCACTTTTTGCAGGTTATCTTGAGGGCCACGACGTTGATCCGTATGTGGTCGCTACTCACTCCGACGGAGGCCAGGGAGCGTTTGGTTACTGCATCTACTCGATGGGAGATGGTAGCTCGGGATATTTTCAACCGGTTTGGATGATGGTCATGTAATAGGATAGGCATGTAGTGCTCCTATTTTATTTGCCAGCCGGTTGTGGCTTTTTGTTTAGCTCTTATGAGCATTTGTTTATTTCACACTTCGGGACTTGAAGACTTGTTGCTGGATTATTTAATAATATGAGCCATATGCATCTTTCTGATGCAGAGGCTGGGGTAAAACCACTTTTCGAAAAAAAATATCACAGTTCATGAACAATAAGCATCACCAAAACTGTAAGTACAAGATCGTCCACTCACTTGATATTTTTTTCTGTACAGACTGGCAACCGATGCATACACCATAACGGTATTATGAGCTGGGGTTCGACACTAGAGTCCCCAGCGGTGCACTTTGTTGCTCCAAATGGATTCGAGCAACGGCCAGGAGGGAATATAGCAACATCATAAGAGGCCAATATACCAATGTTTGGCTCATTCACTGTCGTCCAAGATGCAACCCTATCTCCAAACTCCCTGAAGCAAACATCTGCATATGCTGTGAAATCTTCGTTGCATTTTGTAGAATAAAAAATATGAATAGAACAAATGATTATGTCCTAAGTATGCCAATGCCATATAAAATCGCCACTGCAGTGAAATCATATGTTCACTTACATAATTCTGGGGCTTAACCATCCACCATACTCATCTTCAAGAATCTGGGGAAGATCTAGATGGTGAAGTCTGATGTGGACTTGAATTCCTAGGATAAATAGCACGGAGACCAGAGGGTTCAAACTTTTATTTTGCATGTATTTCTTGAGAAGGAACATCGATTGTATGAAGTATGAACCTAAAAATTGATTGCAGTTAAACATTTAAATGCTCAAAGATCTAATAAAAATACTTGCCATGATTCACTAGCTCATCAATGAGGTTATGGTAGTACTGTAGCCCTTTGGGATTGACAGCTCCACGTCCATCTACAAACCCGAAATTTCCAGAAACAACGAGATAAATTAGAAAACTAAAGCAATTTGTTCTGATGAAGGCCATGATAGTTTCTGTACTTGGAATGAGCCTTGACCAGGAGATGGAGAACCTATAGGCCTCTAGACCCGTCTCAGACATGAGCTTCACATCCTCCTGCAAAATCAGATAAGCCAAATTTCATTCATAAGAGAAACGCTCAATGTTTTGCAGGGGCCCATATTATTTACCATGTATTTGTGGTACCCATCTGCAGCAACATCTCCCGTGCTTTTGTCTGGTATTTTGCCTGCAATGTAAAAAATCTAGCTGTCAAAATTGACCTAACTGTGATTGGTCAACCACATGAGGTTCAGGTCTTGGCTATTGCCAATAACACTAAATTTAGTTATGCTCAGCAACATAAATGCTGTGTAAATTGTTCCACCAAGAGGGCAGTCGTCTCAAATATCCACTCGACGCATCAGGCAAAACTGATCACAAATTGCTCAAGGTGTCATTTGTTACGCATTGTGAAATATCCATGGTCAGGTCATATGCACTCATGCTAAAAGAAAATGTAGCTGCAGCACTGGAAAACTAGAGACAAATTTAGCAAACATGTTAGTAACCAACCTGCGTGAGTGAAAGTGTCCCAGCTGCTTGGGCTCCGTAAACATGTTAGTAACTAGCAACAGAGATGCTCCGTAAAACTGTTGTGCCAAGAAAGAACTGGTTTTAAATATTTATACTACAGTGCGCAAGGTTCTATTTCTTAGGCACTTGAAATAAAAATAAATATAAAATGCCCACAAATAATATGCACCCATGCTAAAACAAAATGTAGTTGCAGCACCGGAAAACTAGCTAGTTATGCTTGTTTCACAAACAAGTAGGAGTAGCAACCAACCTGCGTGAGTGGAAGTGTCCCAACTGCTTGGGCTCCTGCCATCCTCAGCAACGGCACCCTCATACTATACATGCAAAAGAAACACATCAAGATTGATTAAACTGGCGACGGCACCCGGTGAACTAAGCACGCCAGAACTTCAGCCCAAACGAGAAAAAGATTACTTGGTATGCCGAGGTTCCAGCTCCAAAGACGAATTCCCGTGGGAAATCACTTCTTGTGAAGCCAAGATCAGCTGCAGTTGCATCCTGAACCCAGAGCCAGAGGGACAGCAGGAGGTAGAAGAAGGCAGTAGCACCCATACCAATCTATGCTTGTGCCTTTGTGTGCATAGTTGTTGACTCGGGGATTTATGCCCGAATTAATCTCAACAGCAACCTCTCTCATGGGACGCAACCAGACTTAATAATGTTTCTCTGCTGTCAGACCTGGCGATCCTCGTGGACATGTGCAGCTACAATGCCTGCACGCTTCCATCGAGACATTTTTATCTGAACGCACATATTGAGTAACGTGATTGTATTAGAAAAAATAGGATAAACTAAGAATATTCTGACTTATCTTGTATTTTAAATAGATCATATACTTCTATATGTAAATGCCCACGAGGCTCAAGCAATACAACGAACTATTCCATCAAACCTCTTTTCTTTCTAACATGATATCTGTTGCAAGTCGATCCTAAACCCTAGCCGCCGCCGCCGCATCCGCGCGCCGCCCCCGGGGCGGTCGGCCTCCATGACCGCCGTCGGGGGCCGCGCCGCCCGTACCTAGAGTTCGTCCGCCGGTCGTGTTGACCGGCTGCCCTAGAGAGTCTTTTCCCCGAGCCTTGCTCCGGGGTTTTCTCTCTCCCGCCGATCATCTTGTTCGCGTGGTTTCTTTTTGGTTTTTCTATCTATTCTTGATTGGTTTGTGTCGTCCATCGCCGTTGTCGACCCCGAGCATGTCTACTCCGACCCCGGCGCGACTAGCCGGCCTATCCTCCGACCCGGCGGCCACGCGCGCCAAGGCGGCCCGTCAGGGCAAGCCGCCGTCCGCGCGTTGGTCCGTCCGTCGCCCTGCGCCGGCCGTCACCGCCCTGCTTCGACCGGAACACCTGCATCGGCCCGACCCGGCGGCCTCATGCCATGCGACGGCCAATCATAGCCGTCGCTCGCACACCGGCCTGCCCATTGATCCACATCACCCGCCCCCATCGCGTCTGCACGGCGGCCCGGTGGTCTACCTCACCGGTCTCGTCCTTGGCTGCGTCGGGACGGCGGCGTCAGGCTCGTTGGCAGCCTCAACTCAGGCGCCGCTGCTCCGTTGGTCGCTCGGGCCTCGCTGCCCGGGCGCTGGCGTTGCTTTGGCAGCCTGGGTGCCGGTGCTGACAAGCTCGTCCGCACGACGTCCCATGCCGTCCGTCCTCGCCGGCTTCATCTCGGACTCCGCCGCCACCACGGCTCCACCGAGCGGCGTCCCCGACTTCGCGCGCGATCGGCTTGATCACCCGCTCGCCGCCGCGATCTGCCTCATCTCCGTCGCGCGACCGGCCTGGCCCTTCGGTTACGCGCGTCTCCGTAGGTCCCGTGAAGACCGTCCCCGAGTTCAGCGCGCCTCTCCACCGATCGAGTATCAGGCTGCCGCTGCGTCGCCCCGTCGGGCCGCAGCGCCGCCGCCCCGTGGTTCTC